TCGACTGTGCAGGTTGGCCAAACGACAGAGGAGCGAGCATTCAAGGACGTGCTCTTCAATCAGCTGGTGGCTCACGAAAAATCGTTACTAAACACCTGATACAGACCCGCCAAATATGAGACACGTGGCTGATCGGGCTTGGCTTGGCTTCAGCGGCTAAAGGGGGAAGAGCCTGGCTTCTCGGTACACATGCCAGTGCAGAGTATGGAACATTGGCCCAGTATACAGAGACCTCCTTGAGTCAATTAAGCACGCGACAACAGGACCAAAAGAACCATAGGACCCAAAGCCACCAAAACAAAAACTGCAGGACCGATCAGGCAGCATGTGACTGCCACTACTCGGAGAACCCTGCAACAGCTCGGACAAAGCACTTGGAGACGGTAGGACTAGAAAAGCAGTGGACAATAGACCCTAAACCAAAGCACCCAAAACCCCGAAACCACAAACCTAAAATCCTAAACCACCCACAATCTGAGTCCCCGAGCCTGAAGAATGTGGGCACGAAGAGCTCGCTCGGCAGCTCTTGCTTCTGCAGCGTGACGGTCGTGTAAGCCCTAAGAAAGCAGCCGAGCAGGACAGGGTTCCTTTCAATGGTTGCTATAAGATCAGTACAGGGGTCTAAATGATTAAAGATAAGGTTTAAGTGATCTGTAATGAATGTATTCAAGCACCCCAAGTGATAGAATTATGTTGACTCGAAGAGCCAGGTTCATTCGGGGTCACAGCCATGGCAAACAATGCTCTCCTTCTCCGAAAAAGGTTTCCCAACTTCCAAAGCTAGCCCCGCAACTGTGGCTAACTCCAAACTTCCAAAAGAACAGAACTCGAAAAAACGGGAACCCAACGGAACCCTTTAAGGCCCACCTACCAACGAGCTTAGCAGGGCAGTACGGAAGATAAGCCTTCTTAGCCTTTCTTCACTCAAGAGCCTTGTAAACTAGGATGCCACTTCCAGCTACACGAACAAATGACTAGGCAGAATACGGAAAACACCCTGGGTTGTCTACCGCAATCCAGAGCGCAGCTCATGTCACCAAGGCCACCGTGATGAGCCGAAGAAACCAACCATGCAGCCAGGTGTCGAGAGGACCGGAGATCAGGTTAACACTGACCTGTCACCTGGGCTGCAGGCCCGGTAAAGCATTCAAGCGGCACTGACATCCAGACCTGTAGGCATGTCTTCATCATGTAGGACCCCAAACCTAAAGGTAACCCAAGAGAAGGTCCTAACGTTTAGCTCGTCGATTTGGTTGCCTGTGAGCCCGTGCAATTTGCCCGCAACATCTAGGATACGAGCGCGACCACTGAAATCAAGCAACAGCAGCTGCAAAATCGTGGGCCGAAAGAAAGAAACCAACGGCTGCATGTTCAGGTGTGTGCTGCACCTCCAAAATGCAACCTCGCTTGAGCCTGTACTCTGAACATGACCTGCAAGCCCAAACATGTGTCACGGTTTTGCTGTAAGGCTCGTAGGCTGTAGGGAAACCTAAGCGGTTCCACTGTCTTGAGACTTCTGTTGTAGACTTGGTTCACCTTTCGGCGTCCCATCATTTAAGTCTACTATGCTGCCACAATCTAGACCAACCTGCATGCCAACCTAACGCCCAAGACGAGCCCTTCCTAAACTCTAAACCTCCAGCAACCCTTAAACTCCAAGCCCTAAACTCTGCCTAAACTTACAGAAGATTAGAAGCTTCTGCCGAACTAGCCTTCTGTACACAGGTGCAGTCTCCAGGGGTGGTCAAGGGTTCTGCCTTTAGGGTTTTTTTGACGCTCACACTCGGCAAAACCAGGCGAGGTCTGTAGAGAGACTTAGGTGCTTTAGGGTTTAGTGTCTCTTGGAGCTAGAAGGGTCTAGGGCGAAGGCTTCGTCTAGGGCTCTAGGGTTCTGAGCTTATCGTTTGGGTAGGGCTCAGGCTTTGCTTCGTTTGAAGCTATAAACCCGAAGGCTGAGGAAGTGCGAAGGTTCCCCACGAAGCTGCAAACTGGAAACACGTATACAGTCAAACCAATCCACCATCCCCTAAACTCCAAGCCCCAATTGGCAATGCAGGCGACTATAAAAGCATACTAGCACTAACAGCTTAGCGTGTAGTCCTCACGGCAATATAAGAGCCTTCATAAACAGGGCTTACCGGATAATTATACAAATAGGTATGTTGAAGGATACATCCACTAAGGAGGGCTCGGGAGCATTCAAGCCCCTATACAACACATGTTAGGGGTCTGGCTGTTTCTGGGTTCAGGGTTTAGCGCTGCAACAAGGCTCCTACTGCAATTCGGCTTACACGCAGCAAAGGCATCGGTTATGCCAGCAGCCCTCTAAATCCAAACTACCCTCAGCCCTCCTTGAACTCGAAACCGCGAAACCGATCATCAACCCGAAGGCCTAAACCCCTAAACCCACTAAGCCCTAAATCCCCGTAGCACTAAACCCGAAACCTGTTGAACCAGCACCACCGGAACCCCAAACGATGTCTGGCCTCTGCATCTTTTGGCAGAGGGGCTTGCAGAAAGCTCCTTTTGGCATGTCGAGGCTCCGGAAATCGATAGGTGTACAGGGCGTCTGCGGGTTTATATAGTTGGTTTTGCGTCGGCGATGTTCAGGGTTGCGTGTTCTGATGTTTCCTGTGTAATTGGTGATGATGATCACAATGGCTATGCCTCGTGCTGCTTTCAGTCTTGCTGCGGCAAGGGCTCTTCAGTCTTGCTGCGGCAAGGGCTCTTGGGATGGTGTGTGCTGTGTGTGCCGTGTGTGTGTGGGGGTTGCGGATTATCCGATACTACTGCTATCTAGTGCTGCTCTGCTGTTGTGTGCTGCGGTGGGTCGTGCTACTGCTGCGATTGCTATTACGATGGTGTGTGCTGAGTGCATGATTGATGTTTTGAAAACTTGAATTTGTCTGCCACGGGGCAGGATGGGATATGGCGCGCGCATACAAGAAACTCTTGCCCAGGTCGCAGCTGTTGGTTTTTTCAGGTACCGCAAGTGCTTGTGGTTGCGACCCTGCGACCGGATGCATTTCAGAAGTTGAAAGCAACCTGCATGCACCCCTGCATGTGACAGTAATCATTGGAGTGGCATTGTCGGGGTCCAGGAAATTTAGCAAGCATGCCGAATACTTTGGCTCGTGTGAACCAGATGTGTTTATTGCCAACCAGAACGCCATGAAACCCCCCCCCCACCACCCTGCCCCACCCCGCCCCGCCCCACCCCACCCCACCCCGAAGAGCAAGCGGAAAACATCACCGAAAGCAACAAAGACCAAAAGCCAAAAGATGCAAAATGCGCAAAAATGCAAGGTACGAGTAGGAAAACATAAGGCTTCAGGATGTGAGGAATATACCACGCAGGCCACGTCTTTTTTTCTGCTTAGAACGATGTCGCAACGAAAAATGCACGACCAAAAACGACGTCCGTTCTGGCGCAACAAACAAAGCGGAAATTAGACCTAACAAGGGACCCTGCAGAGCGGAACTTGTACAACACGGCTAAAACCTCGCGCAGGACGGTGCTTGCGAAGTCAGCAAGTGGGTGCGATAAGAGCGAGGGGCATGCCATGGCGTAAACAACAACAACAACAACAACAACAACAACAACAACAACAACAACAACAACAACAACAACAACAACACCCAGCCTAGACCGCATTTCTATCATGGGGCAGTTGCTGTGTAAACCATGGCTTGCACTTCCCAAAACTCTACAGGCACCCTATGCGGTCGCCGGAAGCATTCCCAATTGCTTCTAATTAACAACAAGTGCGGGCTGCTGTTTTTGTCTGTACCAACAACAACAACAACATCAACATCGGAAGCCACGTCTGCGGCAACTTGCGACTGAACCAGTCCGCTTCTGGGTGGCACAGCGGGCGAGGTCAAGCAAGCTGTTTACAGGGATGTGCTCGTAGAGCTTGTAACCGCTGCCGCCAAGAGTCCGTAGCTTAGGGTCGCGTTGGCACTTGTCTGAATTGTCCAAGAAGCCCAATACTCGATAAGGAGTTTTTTGTAACCAGCAATAGAAAGAGGAGCTCTGAAAGTCAACCACACATAGCAGACATAACACAAACCTCCCTCCTCCCTGTCTCCAAACCCCAAAGCCGAAATCGGAAACAGCCATATCTTAAGCCGCGCGTCCCCCCACACGTCGTGGGGTTCCAGGCCGGCTCTGTGTGGCACACAGGGTGAGGTCAAGCTAGCTGTTTACAGGAAGTCGTTTTGTGGATTCCATGTTAGGTGTTTCAATCTTCTGAAAATACAGGCTTTCCGGCAGTCCCTTCCTCCACATAAAATTGAACGGTTGTGCCCCTCTGGCAATAAACACTCGAAGAGCGGTTCTAGTAGTAGAGGGTGCTTGTCATCGCTACCTCAATTCTGGTAGTAAGGCCTCGCATGCTTCGTTATGCACTTGAGACAAGAGAAAACGAGAGAGCGAGAGAGCGAGAGGGCGAGAGCAAGATAACGCATCCCCGCACAGGGCAGGGAAGGGGAGAAAAGCAACGAAAACTGAAACACCCCGAACCCCAATGCACAGACTCCAGGCCAAGACCACAGGACGCGGTCTAGGCGGTAAACCATGTAGGCTTTGGGTCAAGATCGCCCAGAGACTAAGGAACGCTGCTCAGGTTGCACACTGAACCCTCGTTATGGGAACCTGCAATGTGCGATGTTGGCGACTTTCTTGCCAAGTCGTGCGATGTTTGGTCCTTCCGGGGGTCCTCAAGGGATGAAGGTCTGGGGCGGGGTTTGGGTGGGAAGTGCCTCGCTTGAGCCCCCAAAACTGTGAACCTGGATTCCGACCCTTCAGCCCCGCCATACCCTCCACTACACCACAACTCCTGGTGGCCTAAATAGACAAAACACATACTGTTTCCAAACCCTGATTCGTAAAGCTCTAAACAACTGTGATTGTGAACCTTGGCCCGCAACCCAATACTTTTGACGACTTCGTCCGAACCCCTTCCCTTCCCCGCATGAGCACCTGCGCAGGCGGCAGGCTAGTGCCTGAACGAATAACACGAGAATCACTGTAATGTCTATCCAGCCATTACCCACAACAGTCTGTCCAGACATGAAACGCAAAACCAAGACACGACACCCTAGACTAGATGAAGATTCTATTCTATTCAGACAAAACCCAATAGCAGACTGTCCTGACCACACTTAGTTACAAGTAGTTGTCTGCCTAGACAAACGAAGTACAAACTTCCTCTGAAAAGGCTTGGCTGTAGAGCACTTCCTTGCAGGGGCCGCATCCTCTATGCACCATATAAGACCTCTTTCGCGAGGGCCCTGACAAAAAGCAGCCATCAAAGCACGAAGTTGGGTTCAGGGTTTTGGACTTGGGCACGGGTGCAAGCGGTGGAATTTTGGGTTTCGCGTTCGGGGTTGAGCGTGCAGGGCCTCAATATCAGCGTCCTCAGGCAGTCTCAGATGTTGTGAACTCGAAAGCATCTATTGCCAAACCTGGAAACTCTGAACCCGGCAGCCTCGAGGGGTCAACTCTACAAGCCGTGTCAAAACCACCTTAGGGTCCTCACATTGCCTTTCACGAAGGGTGTAGGTAGTTCTCAGGACCGTGATTCAATGATCTTAACAACAATGATAATCGCAACACTCTATAGTATCTATTATCCGCCCTATCCGTTGGGTTGATGCTCAGCTTTGTAGCTATTGCCGGCCGCTCCTGGCACTGCGTCTTCGCCTGCAGCCATGGGGGTTGCGGGATTTTGAATTTTGTGTTTCAAACCAAAGGTGGAGGTCTGGGGTTGCGGCTTAGAAGGATTTTTGTTGCTTGAATGTTTGTGTGCCGGGGTCTGGGATATAATTAGGTTTCGGGTTGAGGCTGAAAACACTATGCTCATCCCACCTCGGTGAATGCGAAGATTGCCTGCCAGTTTTCCCGAGACCGAGTGGCACAGGCGGCAGGAGTCAGCAAGACTTTCGTATGATGTTGTATTTATCCATTTAACACTTTCTGGTGCGAGTGATCTTGGAGGGCGGCTGGGTGTTTCTGATGCACGTCGCTGTTTACATCTCCCCCGACCCCAATGCTCAATACGGGAATGCCTTGTGGCCTCCTAACACCGAGCCCTCAACACGTTCGCTGGCAGATGGCTTTAAAAACTCTACCCGCCCACACCCAATTTGTAGCAGTCAGAATAAGGAGACGGAATTTCAACCTCCGGTCATTCCGTCTGTGTTGCTTGGAGATCCGCATGATGTTAACTCAGCAGCACCAAAAACCTTAACCCTTAATCCTAACCGAACTCGCATAACCCGTCGTAGCACTTCTGAATCTGACTGTCTGGCCAAGGCACCCTGCCTCCGCTCTGGCACGCGCTCTTGCAAGCTCCTCATCACCGCGTGACCTTGCAAAGGGTTGACGGTTGAGAATTTTTGGGTCTAACGAATGTCTAGGGTTTTGGCTTTTGGGTTTTGGATGCGGATTGTGAGATTTTCGGCTCGTGGGGCGTTCGAGCCCTCAGAAGATTTTCGCCCTGTATTTCGTACTCCAAGTGCTGATTGGCTCAGTAGAAGCCAGGTCGTCGGCATGAAGTCCAGGTTCAGGGATTAAGTTGCAACCTAGACGCAGCCCCCGTGGCCGGCCCACATCGAAGGGATGGCACGCGCAAAAACACACAGAAAACTCAAGGCTGTATGGTGAACGACTTCCATTAAACATTTCGAACTCCGGATTCGCGACAGGGGATGCAGGAGTTTGGGGTCCACGCCAAGCGGACGACGGCGGCAGGTGAAGCGACATCTTAGGGTCCACTACCTAGAAGATGTAGCTTTCAATCCTCAGCGCATGTTTCACACGAGCTGCTATGGCCTGGAAATGCTCGCGGGATCATCGTTCTAACATCCACTGCTCCACTCCAGCGTGATCCTCCTGTTCTGTCGCCGGGAGAGCCAAATAATGTGGACGAGAAGTTGCAAGTTCCTGACCAAGCACGTGTGCAAGCTTGCGTTCAAAAACATGCGCCCAGAGCTCGTCTTGCTTTGTTAGACGAGTACGCTGGCTCAAGAAAACTCTTCGACGTAAAGCCTCTAGGCCCTACCGAAGTGCCGAAAATTGCCGGTCCCGTTCACTGCTGCAAATCCTTCGGCCCTTGACGCTGAATCTTCAAGTGGGTTCGCAATGTGAATCCGAGCGAATAAGCGGTAAGCCCTGAACCTTCAACACCCTATAGAAACCCTGAGCCCTGCGGAGTTAAAACCTCAACCCACATTGACACCAGACTCTACAATCCCAAAGCTCTTAACCTACTTTCAGTAAAGCTCCCAATGCAGACCTTCTTAAACCCTCTCTCCCAAACTGCTTCTGAGGGAAAGGCTGCCTTCTCGGAGCGGGCATGTGGGCCTACCACATCATCTTGGGATTGGGGCTTTAAGGTCGCGCAACTGTTGGTCCCCGGGCGATGGTCTTGGGCTTTGCCTTGCACCTTAGAATGCTCAACCTTCTGCCCATAAACCGTCAACCCCAAACTGTCAAGTCTCCCTGAAGCTCAGTTGACGCCAGGTGTGACCCGAAATGCTGCAAACAAAATCCTGGAAGTGACGCTCCGTCGATCCAGCTCATTTTTGATCGGGTTGCTTGGACAAGCTCAAAGAGATCATCAGGACATGGGTCTAGACTCAGCTTGCACAGGATCAGCAACCCTTGGAAATACTCGACACGGACGGCTTCCGGGACTTGGTCTGCAGCGAACGCCTACTGGTCTTGTGCTGTTGTCGGTGCTGCAGTTTGCCCTCTCCGGCAGCTTTCGCCGGTCCAGGTAGGTCAGGAAAAACCAATCAAGACCCGGCAGTAGGATGTGTTACGGAACAGATTCGGGCAGAACGGGCATCGAGAAAGGTCAGTATGATTTGCTACCAGCAAGGACGCGGGGCCGCAATTTGCAATGCTGAAGCCTGCATTGCCGCATTGTGTGTCAGCGTCGCGCCCGGAAAGCGACAAATGGGCGCACTATATCTGATTAGGCAATGATCAAGCTTACCCTAAACCCTCAACCTACCAATCCGATTCAGGGTTCCGGGGCTTGCGGACCCAGCCTTGTTCCTGCTCTTCTTAGCACCCCACTCTGCCCCGAAGGGAACGCGCGCTCTCCCCTGCGCATCGCTTGATTGAGAGTTTGGGGTTTAGGTATGTGGCGGTTCAAGAGATTGGAAACGGTGTCACAGAAACAATTTATACTTCTCAATGGGATGTAAAGGTTGGTGCGGCTGGGGGTCTTGCATCGCTGCTAACCACAGCATACGGCTACACTGCTGCAATCAGTGGTTTGCTTTGGATCTTCCACGCAGCTTGTAGTTTTGCATTGCCAATCTGTGAAGTGCTGCTAGCTGTCGCTATTCAATTTTATTACTTACTTTTCTTTGTGTTGGGTGGCCCCCATGTCATGTGCTCTGCAATGCGCTGCCGCGTATGACAGAACGAAGTACACTAACTCAGCCATCATTATATCAGCGTCTCTGCCTCAGGAAAATGTACGAGAGCTTCCGGTCAAAGCTTCTTCTGTGTATGTTTACACAGATACACAGAACGTATGCATGTACATGTGCATAAACATGCATGCGGAAGTATGCAAAAATCTGCCGCGGCCGACTGATCCGACCACTAGGCCCCGCACTTTCTGACAATGGAAAGTAGAACGTTATACCGAAGGTATTTATGAGTGCGTTTTCAATACCAGAAAAGATTGGAGACTCGCTAGCAAGATCAGTAGCACAAAGCACAGCATACATGTTCATGAAATGCAAGAGTCGAGTCCCTCTGGCCGGTATTGGCCAGTCGTGCGAATGCCCGGGGTGAAGTGTCAGGAGATCAGGCGTTGGTAGCAGGGGTTGCAGGATAAGGGCTGTGACTCCCAGGATCTATGCTTTGAGGCCTTGGATGGTGAAGGTGTTGCAGCGGCGTTCTTTCAATCTTGGGAACCCTTGCGAGCGCAGGGCCCTTCAGCATGAAACATAAGAGACTGTAAGCTGCCCTAAGCCCGAGCATTTCCACAAGCTTCAAATTCCCAAACTTGCCTGTAAAAAGATCGTCCCTCCACTTTTCAACCGATGACATGATGATATTGATATCCACGTCCAGCACGGACAACTAGGTTTCAAATGAACAAGCATTGGCTGCTTCCGGGTATCCCTCCCAACCCGCCTATGTCCACTCCGTGTTCACATCCCCCCCAACCCCGGCAAACGGCATCCTGCACCCCTTCCCATTACTACCCCAAGGGTTGGGTCGCCCCAAATCACCAAAAAGACCCGGCGGTCCCTCCAAAACTGTGCAGCCTCCCTCACGCCCTTGATAAGAAGCTCAGCCAGACCCAAAGGATGGCTCTGGTGACTATGGAAAATGCGACGGAAACAACTTTGTTGAAGACTACATCAACCCTCAGCCCAAAGGGTCGGATACATAGGCCGGATGAAGCTGATGAACATAACCAGGCATCATAGATCAGGAATCCCACAAGTCCGGGTTTTGCAAATCAGTCTTGGATCCCAGCCGGAAAACCCCAGCAAATCACCCACATCCCGACTGGGCCTCTGTCAGTCCCTGTTCAGCAAAAACACCACCGTTTGTAAACGACTTGTCCCCCAAAATAAACAAACGCGAGCCTTTGTCTTAGCCCTCATCCTTGAACCCCAAACCCTAAACGTCGAACCCTAGACTTGGTTCAGTCACGGGTTGTCGTCCTTCAGCTCCTCGGGCGGCTTGCCCTGCAGAATGTCGAGCTCGGCCGATGCTCGGCTGATCTTGGAATCATCTAGTCGGTACCTGAAGTTGGGACAATGCACACTTGCGACGGGTAAGGAATTAGGCGCCTTAGCGCTCAGCAAAGAGACGGTCTAGGGCATTCTAGGGCTCAGGGCTTTGCGTCCAGGAAGAACTTGCAAGATCCTTCTGAGCTTGAAAAATCCTTTCGAACTTGAAAGATCCTGAGACTTCGCAGTTCTAAGTGGGGTGATAAGTCATGTCCCCTTAGAGGCATGTGATCATGACCTCGTTTACTACGTCTGCTGATGCTTCCAAGAACCAGAGGTGTACTTTATGATTGGCTTTCGGCACTCAGGGTTTGGGGATCAAGGGTGGCAGAATCTGCAGATCACCGCTGCTGGGCTTGCAAACCCTTTCTAAGCCTTCTAAGCGGGTATCCCATCATGCACATGATAGTACTGGTAGTACTGGCAAGCCGTATTGTGATATTTCTGAACCGGGCGTTGCAGAGCATTCCAAGGCTTTCCGCGACTTATCAGGTTTAGGGCTTGCGGATACCAGGGTCCGTACCCCGTTTGATGATGAGATGCCGGCGCGCACCTCAAGGCTTTGGCCTACCGGGTGGGTTTCGGACATTCGGAGTTTAGGTTTCGTCGTAGGGATCATAGCAAAGTCTACGAAAACTCCAATCTGCTTTGTGTTCTTGCACACGCTTGGTTGGGAGGCTAGTGTGGGGCTTGACCTCAGAGTTCTGCAAGATCTGCATATGAAGATTTGGCAAGCGGACCCATGCAAACCCCAGCCTACAGCCATCCTGCAGATAGGAGGCCAGAGACCAGCCCCCGACCCCTGATGCAGGGGGAGTCGTTCGAGTTTCGGCTGTGAGGCCCTTGGGGCTTTCATGGGTTTAGGGCTCCGGCCAAAGTAGAAGCTTGAATACTTAGAATAGACTTGCGAATAGACCTGCAAAATCAGAAGCTCTAAATCTTGATCAGGGGTGATGTACAAAGTCTCCTTCTCCAGCACATACCTGTAAACCTCTACTACTCAAATCCGTAATATAAGTTACGCAGGAAGTAAAGGATTGGAACAGGCCAAGATAAACCCCAAACGTAGGTTTAAAGAGAGCCTATAATAAAGCTCTTCCCGGCCCAAAGATCTGCATTCGGGTCTCACGTGTGGCCTTGTATTGCCCTTGTGGGAAGATTGAAACAAGAGTTCAAAAGCCAGGCCCCAAGGGTTCCCTCGTAAGAGCCTGTAAGAGTTCGAAAGAAAGAGGAGCCTCACGGACACCCTAACATGACAGGATCCTTGTGGCAAGGCACCTAGATAAGGTCTCCTTGGTTCTGAAACCGCCATCATGAAAACCAATAGGTTTTAAGTTTGAGGCGCTCCCAGTCACTAGGTTTATGGGCCCTGAACCCTATGTTCGACGGCAGAATCCCAGAACCCTTTGCCCGAACTACGCCCCTAAGACGAACGACCTGTGCTAAGGAATACGGTGCTTCGAAACTGGGATCCAGCATGAAAACCGCAAAACCAAACTTCCACCTCGCCAACCAAAAAAAACTGAACTCTGGACTCAACCCCATAGTGTGACCCATAGAGTGCTTTATTTTAGGACCCAAGACTCATAAACATCAAAGCGATGCAGAACCTTTAAGGCCAATATCTCTACAACCGAAACCCTACAAAGGATACTGTCATACACAAACTCAACTCCCCAAGGGGCCTTGAGAGTTAGAATAAGGGTCTGGGGGTATCGTATCACAGACTTCTGTCGCGGCCACGAAGGGACACTACTGATTGTTTGGACCTACGAATATAGCAAGCATCAGGACCCTACATCCGCAAAGCCAGAAGCCCGGAGCTCTGGAAGATCTAAACCCACCGAAAATCCCAAAGCCGAAACATCTGAAGGCCTGACTCAAACCCCCGAAGACCCCACAAACATTCATAAATTCATGCCCCCAAAACCTAAAGCCCTCTGAAGACAAAAGCACCGAGACGAGGCGCCACCGACTCGGATCGCCGTCCCACCGCGTAGTAGTGGCCTCTGGAGGCATGGTTGCCTGCTCAGCGGCCGGCTATATGCTGAGTTGTGGATCGAAGCAGAGAGGCAGAGGGTGTAGGACTTAGGACTCCTGGTTTTGGGCTCAGGATGTAGGGTGCGGAGTTTAGGGTTCTGGGTTGATGCTTTCGCAACGCGGACTTCAGCCAGGTTTAGGGATCTGGGGTTAGGGCCGGTAAAGGTTGAACGTGGCTTATGAGGTGTGTTAAGTCGCTGTATACCCCGTTTACAAATTGAGGCACATGTCAGGCTGGAGGGAGTAAAGCACAGCTGGGGAAGAGGCCAAGGACTGCCCCGAGCCTGTGTGGATGATGACATTGTACAGCTCGTACTCGTCGGGTCCTCGCCGAGCAGTTCAGGAAAGCCGTGCCCCCGACAATCCGTCGTTGTGTCGAAGGACCAAGTCTGCAAAGGGCTAAGTCTGAAGCCCCAAACACACCCAAACACGGAAATCCTGCGAACCCCCAAAGACAGAATGGCGAGGGATCCCCAAACCGGCGGGGGCCAGATCGGAGCCTGAGTTTTCCGAGAGGGTTCGGGGTCTTTGATACTAGAATCAATCAACTATGCAAACACATGCGTCCAACGACAACACGCTTTAACCAACTGTAGTATGCTGAAGTATACCTCAAGGCACTCTACATCTGAAACACATATAGTAGTATACCATGATGCGCGGGAATTTCGGGATAGATCAAGGTTTTGAGATTGCTGCCCAAGTTCATCGAACCTTTGCAAGCAATGCTTATGGGTATTTTCCCTCTCGAATTTCTCCAAAATGGAGGTTTGCGTCCGTTCATGCGGACTCCGAAACCCCAACACACCCCAAAAGCTCAAAAAAACTTACCTCATTCCAGTAACTCGACAAGGTCATACGCTAAGTTACCATGATAGGATTTAAATTCTTGGAAGAAGAACAACATGTTTGCCCAGTTTGTGGGGCTGAGGACAAGGCCAATCTTCAGAGGCCCGTCCACGCGGATTGGGGTCTTCACCTTGCGGGATAGAGGTTTCGGGCGGAGGGGGGTTCAGATTTAGGGTTCAGAATTCAGGGTGTAGCGTCTAGGATATGGCGAGCACCTGACAAAAGCACGGGCACCTGAACTCCGCAACCTTTAAGCTCCTCTCCTCTCAAACGCTCCAGCACATGAAAACCTCAAACCTCAAGTTTCGCTAAACATTCAAACTCCCATCCAACCGCCTGAGTTTCCCTAAAGTCTCCTGTCCAGCCCCTAGGCTTTCAACTCTTCCCCGTCGCCTTGGTGAAGCTTGTGTTCTGCACGTTGAACGCAAAGCGGTTCAGGCCTTCACCGACAGGCTAACGGTGCTAACGGTTTGAGGGATTGTATTTTAGGGCTTTTAGAGGCTTGGCATTAGGGGATCGGGCTTGGGAGGCAGGCTGTCGGATTTGTGCCAGTGCGAGGATAGGGCCACAGGTCTCCAAACTAGACGTTTAGGGTGTCCGAACTTATAGGTCTTGAGGCGGAACGGTTTAGGGCTTCGGAGCTGCCTGTCAAGCGCATTCTGAGTGTTTGGGAATCTAAACAAGCACTTCAGGTCTGACAGTCTGTAACTGCATGGATTTGGCTGTAGGCTGTAGTAGGTCTTATGCTTCAGGGTTTGGGCTTGCATGCCAGTGTAACCTGAATTGTGCCACGGCTGTTTTCGTTCTGGTGTCATGCTGGCTTGGTGCGATCCCGTGTTGAGCCTTCTCTAGACCCAATTAGCTGTCAACAATAAAACCCCAGGTCCTAAAGGCCTTGAACCTGCAATCCCAAAACCGAAGACCCCGGAAAACATTGCTGCAGGAGCTGCAGATGCAGAGGTGGTCTGGGGGGGTCGTGATCCTCAGCTGTGCCGGGGCGCTTGAGAAGGGTGCCTTTATGGGATCTAACTGTTCGTTTAAAGGTGTTATACGGGTTTTATGGGGGGTGAACTCATCGCTTTTGCCGTTAAAGGTTCAGCGTGTAAGTCTTCAGACTGGTTAGGGGTTCCACTGTTGAGGCTTGTTTGTCTCCCACCTGGCTCGGACTTTGCCCACGCTTGCAATGTAGGCTACATGACTGGACCACAACATACGACAACTGGTTGAAGTTGCAGGTTGAGGGATTTTCATGCATTGCGATTGGGAGGTCTTCGGTGTTGTGCAACATTTTGGGAAGAAAATGGAGCTGAGCTCGTTCAGGAGCTGGTCGCCTGCCCCTGTCTCCACGGAGTGACCTAAAGCTCCAGAGGGTTGCATGTCGAGTTTTACGCGGCCATCACGTACAGTCGTCTTGACAAGAGGAAGGAGTTCAAGAAAACTTTGTACCCATTCAGTTTCTGTTGCATTGGTTTATGTGCAGGGTTTTCGGCTTGGAGGTGAAAGATGGGGTGCGGGCAAGCTAAAACGTGTACCCTAGATGAGGTGCAGGCAGGCATCTCGCACCATTTTCCCATCTGTCGTTTCGCCTTTGCAGGCCGATTTGTAACTGGGATTTGACCTCTTTGGCGTTTTGAGTTGTTTCTGGGGCCTTCTTAATCATGGGGATACATGAGTTCGGGGCCCACGTAGTGAGGATCTTTCTTCGGTGCTGTCTTGTTCCACAACAAGCCCTGCACCGTAAAACTGGTAAGGCCAAACAAGAAAGGATGGGCGGCGGCACTCTCTAAGAAGCCCTGTGGCCTGGAAAGACAGAAGCGTAAAGGTCTCAGTACGTAGATGTCATGCTGTTGGGTTTAGGGCGCCTAAAGCTCGAAACTTGTGGCGAAGGGCGTTTCGTCGGTGGTTTGGGGATTCGGGGTTCTTTTGCTCGACGAAACTTTGTCAACCCGAAACCCTAAACCCTGAACCCGTTTCAGCATGGGCGGGAGTGTTTGCCACAAGCCCGGAGCCCTTTTGCAACTGGCTTGCAACGTCACGCCAGGACAACCCTGGACACAGACCACCTCAAGCTTGCGGGTTTCGGTTTGTAGGGCGTTTTTGCCAGCAGCTTTGGGCGCTAAGGTTTGGGTCACGTCTGGGGCGCAAAAGGTGTCAGAGCTGGTGCGATGCAGTTCCCACAGCATATAAACCTCACGCCTGAACCATCCTAAACCAAAGGACGCCGAACCCTGCTCCGTTGGCTTGTTTTCGTTCCTACTTTCGGCCCTAGACACGCTGCAGAGGGGCCTGCGTACTCAAATGATTAAGCCGCGGCTGCCGCATGGAAGGGTACGTGTCAAAACGCTAGTATGGAAACACAACTTTCTCATCCGATGATTTCAGAGCGTTTGTCCTGCTTTATGTGTCCAAGCCGTATCTGAACATCCGTACACTCAACAGCCCAACAAGCTCGTTGCTGCCTGCACCACCGCTTGGCACAGCAGCTGCAGGCCCTGGCAGCAGGCCGACAAGCTGTACAATGCTGATCTTGCGTGACTCTGCGCAAAATATCTCTCGGGGAACTCCCCAAGTGCCTATGCAGATCTCGATTTGTAACTCGTCGTTCCTTGCAGGTCTTCTATGATCAGCTTTTCAACACAGTTTCCTATGCATGTTCAATAAAAAAGCAGGTTTCGGGTCCCTTACATCCGGCCTCAAGGCCCAAACCCCTTAATTTCGGAACTGAACAGCCTGTAGGACCCCTATAGTAATGGAAGCCCTGTCAAGCAATCTACAACATGTACGGCGGAAGCCCGAAACCCCTGGAATGCCTCTGTTATACCCGAAACGGCCGCTGCAAAGGACCATGTCATGGCACCTTCTTGTGGTATACCTGGCAGCGTCCTGGAAAATCTGAATCATGCATAGATAGAAGTGCATATAAACCTATGCGGCTCCTATATGATCAGAAAACCACAACACACCATCCTCCTAATACCATGAATCATAAAACACGGTTGTGCTATCCCGCGTCTTGCGCAACGAATCTCACCATCCGAAGTCCCAAAGTGCCTATGCAAAGCTCGATGCTTAAGCCTTTTCATCAGACTGTGATCATGTCGCAGGGATTGCATAATGTTACCGAACGAAATCCCAAGCTCAAGAACCGTGCGAGCTGGCGGAATCCTTGTGGTACGTCCCATTGAGCGCCGTCACAGCTGCTACGGCTGCCTCAATGGTGCTGTGGGATGCCTCCGATTTACACCTGGAGAACTGCCTCCTCTTCCATGTAATGTTCATCAGGTGAGGAGCGGGTTTATACGGCGTAGATAAGATGACACCCATCATGTTGCAAGCCTAGCTTATAGCAGCACCCTTCGTATCATCATTGGCAACTACGCTAAACACGGATTGGACCCTCATCCCTTCCGCTTGAGTGGAATGCTTCATATGCAGCCCCGGCACTGCCCAAACCTCCTCCCTCACTGCAGCCGCCTGAGCGCGGAGCTTTCGGCGGCTAGAACGCTAGGGCTCCTCGGGGGTCCTTTCGTTGTTGTGTCGGTTGTTCGTCTGGGTCTACTGTACGACGGGGCACGCACTGCCTGGACCCTTAGATCCTTCCCGAAACCCAAACCCTGAGCCCCTACTATTAAGTTTTTTTGTTAATGTGTAATGGGCCTTTCTCCACAGCGAACGGGTGCTATTAGGTTTGGGGTGTAAGGCTGGACAGAAGATGTCGGTCTTCGGGAAATGGTGTTGATGGAGCTAGGGTTTAGACTGCAGGACGTGGGTAGGGGTGTTATCTGGCGTCTGGTTTCCGGGCTTGGGGCTGGGCATTTGTAACATTATAAACCTTGTACTCATTCCGCCTCGAGGATGAGAACGACTCATGAATCCATGAATTCTCGGGGCGGTGTTTCCACAGGGTCCAAACACAAGTGGGCATCAGGGATTGACATATGAGATCTCCTGGCAGAGTGCCATGCGTCTCAGGTGCCGAAGGAAAGGCAAGTTCCAGCATAGGACTTGCCTCTCATGTTCGTTCACCTAGCCTACTCAAGGCCTGTCTCACGAGCCTCCACAGCCTAAGGGTCTAGGGGTAAAACGCCGCAGCGGTTAGGGTTCAACGAAGGGTCGAGGTTTTCTGACCCCATCCTGGCTCACTGTCGCATGCAGAATCCCCACCATATCCGGCCACTCGGGAAGGAGTGTGGTGCTTAATCGCCTACTAACAAGCATTTGTATCCCTTATCTAAACTATGCACTTCTTCAAGAATGGGGCTACCTTGAAATCAGGTCGCTTCTAGATTCTAGAAGATTCCAAATGGTCTGTCCTCCGCACTCATGATTTTTCCGGCCTTCACGGGGGGTAGTCGTCAGGGGCCGAAAAACAGTTCCGGGGGTCGGAAAACGTGCTGCAGGGGGTCAGAACGACAACCTCTGGGGAGGGGAAATCGGGTGGTCGGGCAAGTGG